CTAACTGAGTGCCTCATCACCAGGGCTTCTCTTTCAACACAAGAAACAGTCCCATTTCAAGCAAGATTTTGTATGGTCCAGTTGAACTATACTTAACCCACATCAGATTTTTTTTTAAACTATAGTATCATTGAAACTTGATAAACACATATGTCCTAAGAGCCTTTTAGTCCTAAGCGTTTACAGAGTAGAGCCACATTTAAAACTAATTATATATTCATTTTAATGCTGCTACCAGACTGCCTTTCTGTTCCTGTTCTCTTTTGCCGTTTTATATTTCCACTTCATTTTTTCTATAGTATTAAATAGGGATTATGTAATATGATGTTCTGGTGAATGCAAGACCTTTTCTACTCCCTAATAAATATTCAGAAATATTTTGCATACATCATGTGAACAAGGCTTGTGAAATCGTAATGGGATGACTTATGAACATTCATCTTTCCTATACTGAAGTATAATCTAGTCAACCGGATGGTATAGCAAATCTTCCTGACACATTTATATTAATGCATATTTAAATGAGAATAAGAAAGAAATAGTCAAATTTATGTTAAAGACTTCTAAAGGCTTAACAGCATCTTACTAAGTATACATGTCAGCTTAATCTAATCCTCCTACTTCTAACACGTTCTGTGGTCTCAGAACGGTGCCTATAATACTCTCGTATGTTATGAGGGATTGCCTCTGAGAAGTTCACCACCAGTACTACACTTGGTTCAATAAAACTTTACATTTGGTCTTAGGATGACAGAAAGCTATCTGTCTCAAATTTGCATTACAAACCTTTAGCTTCTTTTGACATCAGTAACACTAGCTATAATAATTTCCAATAACGTGTTACAATATGCAGAGTATATGTATTCCTGGTTCTCATCTTACTGTGTCAGGTACAAACAAATTTCTCTTATTTATTTGGACAATTTTAAATAAATGACAACTTCTTTGCACCAAAAAGCACTCATCTAATCAGAGGCTCATTTGAGAAGATCTGTGGCAGTATTTCCTCCTTTCACTCCAATGACTTTGAGTTCTAATGAGAAAAAAGAACCTTTATTCTTTCCCATGCTTTTGCTAGAGGAGACAATACATTGCAATTCGAGATCTTTTATAAGAATTATTGAAGACTATTTGCTAATCCTACGACATGATGGAAGTCCACTAAGACTGGAACAGTTATCTCCTCAACCATCTCTCTTGATTTCTGAGACATGATAATTTCTGTCTTTTCCAATACAGATACATCTGTCTGCTCTGCTTCACATCAAAAATATTTGAATAGCAGTGCCTAGCATCCCCTGCTATGTTATTAATAATTATCTTTCCTCAACAGACAACGCATTTGATTGTAGCTGAAGACTCCAAAAGGACAGACCTACTTGTGGGATTAACAATGTCTAACACATCGGAGATCAAACATGTCACTTAACGGATCACCATACAGATGGTTAGCAACTAGCACTACCTGAGCTGAATTAATAAATGGCAACTGAAAAACTGCTCCCTCAATATCATTTATGTCCTGGCAGCCACATCAACGAAACAATATTTTTTAAAAGTCCGTGTATTAGGCCTGCAGATTTTCAAGTCAAGGTGAGTACATTTCTGTTTTATCCTGTGTCCTGTTACAATGCTATTCTGTGTTTGAAAGGCAGTTTCACCAACTATCTGATCAGTAGTGTAAATAAATTCTGATACCCACCTAGACATAACTCTGCAACAGAAAGTAACCTTTGGAGGTAGCAGAAATCACCACAGAGACATCCAAATACTCAAAATATCCTAGGGTGAGCCTACAGAGACACATATGAGCAAGTTTTGGCCATGCTCAGAGCTAACTAGACATAAACTACTGCTATTTTGGAAGCCATTTGCTATTCCCTCCTGTGACTTGCCACATTCAGATTCATGCATTCTATAAGCAGAACAAGCTTATTTGAGCTTCCCTAAATATATTATATGTTTTGAATTCTATTCAGGCAATGAATTAAACTTCTGGGTAATGTAAAAAGTGCCTTTTTTTCTCCCTTGGTCTGAATCCAGATTTAGGAAGAAGGCTGACAAGTTAATGGGCTGTTGCAGATGAAACATGAGGAACACTTTAAGGATCAAGAGGAAAACAGGAATAGACTGTGAGAAACTGGAATAAGCTGTGGTCATCAGAACTTAACAGTCTCTAATACTGTGGGCTGGTGTTATAGGCAGGTTAAAATACCATGGGAGTCAAAAGAAAGACCTGATATTAGTTCTGGTATATGACATCTGTGAAACACACTAAAGGACACACACATTTGCAGTAGTTCTGCCAGTCAAAACTAAAGACTGCCAATAATTGAGAAGATAAAACATAGGCTATGTCATCTTGCTTATGGACACTGTCTAGGAAATACTGAAATGAATGGGAACATCTTGGAGCCCTTCTACAGTGCTTTTTAAACTAAAAGTTAATATGTATGTGTGAGTACATTTTAAATTATGAGAAGCATAACTATAATAACAGTACAAAAGACAGTGAAGGACACAGTAATATGCTGCACCCTTTGGAAAGCTGAGGAGGCTTTACTGGAGACTACATGTCTTTCAAGGCTCCAATGACATATATTAGCAGAACACTTAAATATGTCACCGTGTCTTAACAAGACATTAAAAATTAGTCTTCTGATTTTGAATCAGAAACAGTATAGTAGTCTTATATCAGATTGAAACTATTAGTAAGACACACTTCAGCAACAACTACTTTAATTTGAGAAATTATTTTCAAATGTATAGCATATTTCCTTTTCTCATTACATGAACTTTCTGGAAATTTTTACTAAGTAGAAAAAAGTTATTTTAAAATTCTTTGTCAATGAATTAGTGCTGCTTGGAAATTTGATGTATTCTATATATTCTACAGATTTAGAAGAATGTATTTCTTACCAGTGGGGATAATGATAAAATTGCTATAATGACAGAAATGATTATGACAGTGCAGAGATCTGAACACAACCAGAATGAATATATGACAATCATAACAAATCTTTCTATGTCTATGCCATTGGTATGAATGGAATTAAATCAATTTTTTATGCACACAATTTATACATTACATTGAGCAATATATTTAATAAAGCAAAAGAAATTTTGGAAGTAATTATTCTACGGCCTGAGAAATATCACAAAGAGAGCAGGCAAAACGGTAATGTTAATCCCATGCCAGGAACATGTTTTATCAGGTTTCCTTTTAGCTCTTAAACAAGATGTACTAAAAACAACAACATTCTGTCAGACTATATGCTCATTCCTTGCTTCCTGGATTAAATATGCTTATTCTATGCCACATTTTTATAGCTTTCAATTCCTGTACTTTAAATCTATTAAACAACGTCAAGTTGAATTTGCTTCAAAAACTGCTGCAGGTTAAGAAAAAAAATAGGACAGCAGAATATTTGAGGGCTAACATTTATGTCAGCTAATTAATATGGATCAGTTGTGGTCTGCAAGGATTTTTAAAGTGCATGCATGTTTGAGATAAATATAGACTAGGGATCTGATTTTGTTCCTTCTCAAATTGATAACAAAGCTCTTACTAATTCCAGTACAAGTATAGTCTACCGGTTTTGTAGGCCTGACAGCTAAAAAAAGCTTTTGTGCTCTTGCATAACCTTAGTTGTTCCAAATTGAGCGTAGCCCAAAATACACATGTACAACATAAGAAATAAATTATAGTTACTACTTTGTATTTATTGTCCTGTATTCTCTTTACTTGGTAAGGGAATGAGATTTTGAAAAAAAAATTGAGAAAAAATAGTAAATTTGTTTGGTTAGCAAGTTCTTTTTAAATAAGTTGGTAAGAAATCAGCCCATGTTCAAAAGCAGACACCTTCTAATCTAGAGGATACAACATCGTCTCCTTGTTCTAAAACATTAGTATTTCATTACGTATTCTCAAAAGTGTGCCTGTTAGCACACAGAATTTGGATATTTGAACATAGTTCTAGATCATGACAAAAATAGGCTACCAAATGGACAACTGTTCAAAGAATTTTATGCAAAAGATCCCTTCTCCCTATGTTTGACCCTGAGATGACTGGATTTCTCAGGAACTTCTCTTTCATGGAACCACAGAATAATTCAGAATAGAGCAAGCTCATATAATCCAACCTCCTACTCAAAGTCAGGTCAGCTGTGAGATCAGAAAAAGTAATCCAGGGCTTTATCCTGTTCGGGACTTCAAAACGTCCAATAGCGCCTTTCTATATGAGAAGCATGCCTGGTAACCAGAAAAAGAACAAATGTATCTTGATCATAGAATCATAGAATCATTTAGGTTGGAAAAGACCGTTAAGATCATCGAGTCCAACCACTAACCTAACACTGCAAAGTCCACCACTAAACCATGTCCCTAAGTGCCACATCTGTTAAATACCTTCAGGGATGGTGACTCTACTTCCCTGGCCAGCCTGCTCCAGTGCTTAATAACCCTTTCAGCAAAAAACTTTTCCCTAATATCCAATCTAAACCTTCCCTGGCACAACTTGACGCCATGTCCTCTCATCCTATCACTTGTTACTTAGGAGAAGAGACCAACAGCCACCTCACTACAACCTCCTTTCAGGGAGTTGTAGAGAGCGATAAGGTCTCCCCTCAGCCTCCTTTTCTCCAAGCTGAACAACCCCAGTTCCCTCAGCCACTCCTCATAAGACTTGTTCCCCAGACCCTTAACCAGCTTCACTGCTCTTCTTTGGATGCACTCTCGCACCTCAATGTCTTTCTTGTAGTGAGGTGCCCAAAACTGAACGCTGCATTCGATGTATGGCCACACTACTCCTGCGTACAGAGGATACGTCCCTTGTCCTGCTGGTCACACTGTTTCTGATGCAAACCAGGATGCTATTGGCCTTCTTGGCCTTGAAAGGCACTTCTAATATGCCTTCTTCCAATGAAACCTTATGTAGAAGTAAACAAAAATTACCTTATGCTTAGTATTAACAGCCGATTTCTGTCATCATAAGTCTTACCTGTTTGTAGTGTTTCAGCATCAAAGACATCCTCCTTGAAGAAAGCTCTAAAAGACAAAGGACTTGAGCTGCAGTCTTCTGAAAGTTTCTCAAAAGCCTGCCTAAACACAGCAACTAAGTCATGAAGAAGTCCATCTAAATCAAGCTGAGAAGCGGATGGTGAAATCAAGCTCAGACATACAGAGATTGATGCACAAGATGCAGAACTAGACTCCACAGATTCACACTCAATTTGGAAGCCCTCTGACAACATCTTCACTGCAAAATATTTTCTTTGGAGTGGATCATCAACTACCGCAATAACATGCCATTCAATGGCAGCATCTCTGGGTAGGTGAGCTATTACAACCACAGCAAGCAACCCACAGACTGCAGTTACATCATGATACATCTCTGAATCTTCAACCTAAAAAACAAACAAAAAGTTGCACATATTACAGAGCTGGCAGGAATTAATATTGCTCATATTCAGCTGATATATTCAAAAAAAGTATGTGCAGTACAATTATTTCATGGAGACTGTTTTTCCCCTAAACTTTCCTTCCTATTGAAAAGTCATCTTGAGCAATTATGAATTTGTGTGACAGTATCTGCTCATTTTTGTAATCTCTACTACTATGCCTGTACCATTTAAAAAAATGCTGATCGTAATGTATTTTGCACTGATTTTGCAATCAAAAAAAGCCTTTTTGCATACAGCAACTTTTGTCCATACCAATGGTCTCTGAAGAACAGAAATGAGCTAGTAAAGCACTTAAGATTTATTTTAAAAGTTGGAGTACTAAAGATACAGTTCAGCTACAGCAAAGATACAGTGCAGACAGTTCTGAACAGCAGAATGATCTTGAACAAAGCCTATTAGAAGACAAAATATCTTTTCTTAACAGCAGAGCTCATTTAGGAAGTATATTTAAATTGTTTTCACATCAACCAGCACATCTAATGAGCTAACTTGTTAAGCTAACCATGAGTAACTGAGTTCCTTTTCTTCTGATGGTATTAAAGAAGTGGGACCGTCTTTCTGCTTACTTCTTTGTAAAAATTTTAGTATAAATTGCACTGTAGCATGTTAATAGGTATAGGAAGTGAATATGTTTCAAAATACTGAAACAATCTACCATGAGACAGACAAAGAAATTGTGAGTTTGTAGCCATTTCAACAAATTAATTGTACCTATGTACATTATTAGCATTACCTTTGGATCTTAACAAACCTAAGATAACTTCATAAAAGAATTATCTTGTTCCTCTATTGTTGCTATGTATTCAATCCTTGTTCATCTGAATACAAACAAAAACAACCTTAGAACTTTAAACTAGGATTGGTACATTGTGGTGGGTTGATTCCGTTCAGCAGCTAAGCACCACACAGCTGCTTCCTTACTCCTTCCCTCTCCAATGGCACAGGTGAGAAAACTCATAGATTGAGATAAAGGTGGTTTAATAAGTGAAGAAAAAAGCAAGAAGAGAAAAACAAAACAAGCAATGCAAAGGCTATTACCGAACATCTCCCCACCAGCAGGCTGATACCCAGCTAGACTGTGAGCTAGACGGCTCTACTCCCAAAGACCCCTCCCCTTAGTTTTTATGGCTGAATATGATGTTATATGGAACGAAATAGCCTTTTGGTCAGCTGAAGTCAGCTGTCCCAGCTGTGTGCCCTTCCAACTTCTTGTGCACCCCCAGCCTACTCGCTGGCAGGGCAGTACGACAGGGAAGGCCTTCATGATGTGTAAGCACTGCTCAGCAATAGCCAAAAACCCTGGTGTGTTATCAGTTCTGTTTCGATCACAAATCCAAACCATAGCACCATACAGGTTGCTATGAAGAAAGTTAACTCCATCCTAGCCGAAACGAGTACACACATTTAGGTCTACTGTTACCTTATACATAAATGCATATACTCATACTTCTGTTATGTATACAACAAGGTCTATTTATGGAAAGCAACTCCATTTTATGATATACATACTCTCAAAAAGTATGAATTTACATTAACTTATCAGCTCTCTGAACACCTTTGTTTTTTTGAACCACCGTTCAAATAGTTGAAGAGTTGAAATGCTTATTCTGGCCAGCAGATTTTTTCCCCCTACTTTTTCATCCATTTTTATGGAGAGACAATATATTAACCATTTTTAAATATTAGTCACTTACACCATCTTCTTTGTGTACACAGGTAATAATAATTCTTTTTATATACCAGTTTGCTTACACTGCAGTATATACTGGTAATACTGTCCACTGCCTGACCTCTAAAAGGAAAAGTAATAACAAGGCAAACCTGTCATTTTGCCTGAAGTCGATGAGGCCGTATAACTCACAGTACCTTCAATTCACAAGCTCAATTTTCATTCACTCGCTCTCAACTTTTGAGAGGAGGAAATAATGACAGGTTACAGGCACTTTATTTCAAAATTTGCTCACAAAGTTATTGACAAGCATTTTGCACAGAATATCTTTGATGCTTGACCCTTGCGAGCTGTTTACATGAAAAATGCACTTACTTCTATGTTAACGATAGTGGAGTCTAATTCTATACCAAACATATAGCAATTGCTTTAGCATTTCTGTTTTTGATATGGGAACAAAAATAGGGATAATTCGTCTCAAATTGTAGTCACTTCAGTCATAATAAAATCTCACTGAGTACTGTTTGCTTTCAGTACTTTTATTAGGCTAGCCAGGGCTGTTATTAAGGTACCAACACATAAATGTTATATTAGCACTTAACAGGAGGAGCACAGTATTCTCCTCTAGGAGATGAATTCTAACCTTGTCAATATAATTCTGCTCTGAGTGCTGTAAAACAGTTTGAAAAGATGAAATACTGGAGCTTTGCACTGAGGAAAAAAAAAGTCATGCTCATTCAGGCTTAAAGGCCACTTTGCTGGCCCACGGTGCTGAGGTACTGTTTAGAAAAAAAGTCTAAAGAAGCTCTCTCAGGTCACATCAAGCACTAAGACAAACTTTTCTACTTCCCTGTACTTGTCTTAGGTTGTTAAATCAATTACTCACTATTTCTGCTTGCCTTCAGCTGCCATTTACAATACGAAGAACTACATGAAAATTAAGGCCAGGAGAAAGTACATTTCCAAATTTAACAAATGAGAATCATTCTGAGTGAAAGACTATTCACAGTGCACCTGTACAGCACCACAGCACTCGTAACCTTTAACTTTAGAGTTTGCACAAAGCACAAGTGATGGAGCTACTGGGTACTAATAATCTTTCATCAGCTGTTACAGAATCTTACAGAAATACTTCTAACAATGACCTCGCCTGACTTATTTTCAAGAAATCTCTGACATTTGGGTGGTACATGGATGCTGCATTTATGAGTTACCTTTCAGAAATTTATAACTGTCTTAAACCACTGAATATCTTTATGATAGCCTGTCTAGTAAATGAGGATGAATATATGGGTTCTGCTACGAAATTCTATTCATATGATGCTGGAACAATGTAACTATTAAGAGTGAAAATGAAGAGGAATTATTTTATGATTAAGTTGTTCTTTACAATCGATTCTGCTCTCTCATCAATGAGATCCAGCACTTTTGGCAAACAGCTGCCAAGAAAAACATTGTTTTAGGATTCTTGCCCAAGGATACTGTTGTAGACTGTTCTATGAAGGGAGCACAAGTTTTGGCCTACTCCTTCTACATCTTCACAGTCTTTGGAAAAAAAAAACTGAGGTAGAAGAGGAAGCAGTTTAGCCTGTAATTCTTGAAAAAGAAGTGACAAATAATTCTTGGGAACTTCTGTAAAATTTTTATTACTGAGACATGAGAAAACACTGCTGGGCCAAACACTATTTGAAATCAGTGATTCATTAAAGTATGTTTGACTTGAATTTTACAAATCTTTGCAAATTTCATTAGGCTGTAGGTGTAGCTGTCATCTAAATGTATTTGCCCTTAAATACTTATTTCCTAGCTACCAGTATTCAAGTGTTTTTCAGTTCATGGGAGACGGTCTGCCTCTGGATCTCGATTTCCAGTTGTTGGCTTTTCCACAGGATTTAATCCTTTCTAAGAACAAATACTGCAAGGTAACTTGGCACCAGGAAAAATTCGGATGCCATAAGGGAAAATGAGCAGATTGTAAAGGTTCATTGCCTGACTGCTGAGATAATATGAAGATGGATGCTACTTTTGTGCTACACTTTTACATGATCTGATTCAAAGAGGCTGGACAAGGAAGCCAGGTAACTTCCTTTCACTGTGCAAGAGACAGCCTCTGAAAATAAATGATTCTGTAACAACTTCTTCTTTCAGGCCTCTCAGAGGCCACACTACGACAGAATTCTGATTCTGTCATACTATGAAATGGCAGATCCCAGAACTTTGGACAAAGATATAAAATGACAAGTGATTTAGCTCTTACTGAATCTCATGTTAGACTGTCCTCAAAACATAATTCATAATATCGTTCCTCTGTCAACAGGATCATCTGCTACTCAATTTATCAAAGATGGAGTCCCACAAAGTTTGGAAAAGGAAGACAAAAAGTAGATTTTTCCAAATACATCATTGTATCTATATCATTCCCTATCAAGAGGACTATGAACACTCTCATTTTTTAAGACTTCACTTTGAAAAAACCACAACTCAACAAAGAACATTTCCCACTCTGAAGAAAATACTGATATTCTTCTGGTGATACAACACACATTTAGTAACTCAGGGGAAAACCAGAAGGTATGGGGTAGATTTTAGGAGGAGTCAGAATGTGACTCTATGATTTACCTGACGTTTTATAATACCAAAGTAGGTTGATGCCATATTACTGGAGACACTAAGAATGCCATGCTAAGCTAAGTAACATCCTGGAAAGTCTTCATGGACTGGTTAATAATCACAGCAGTTGACATCAGTGAAGAGAGCAAATAAAACATTATGCATTCTTAGGAAAGGAATGAAGAACAAAGTTGGCAACATTATGCCACTGTAGAAATTCACAGTTCACCTGCACCTTGAGTAAGATATGCAACTCTGGATCTCTCTGCTGAAAAATGACCTATCAGACCCAGAATGTGTTCAAAGGAAGACAAGCAGGATGATAAAAAGCTCTGCAGGGTCTGACTGGAAATGTTCTCCAGCCTTCTTAGGGAGACTATGACAGAGGTTTACAAAATCATACATGACATAAGAAGGGTGGATAGGGGTAAGAACTGATTTTGCATGGTTGTCTTTCTGTACAAGAACTACGGATCATCAAATGACATTAGTAAAAGCATGGTTTCGAAAAGAACGATGGTGGGTGACATTGCTGCTTCTTCTCCTTTTTCTCAAAGCACATCACAGAAAACTGGAAGCCCACTTTTAGGGGAGCACTTATATCTTCAGTTCCTGCTTATACTGACAGAGACAGCACAGACAACCAAAACACGACAGTCCAAGA